GATATAGTCAGAGGATGGATGGATGGATGATGGATATAGTCAGAGGATGGATGGATGGATGATGGATATAGTCAGAGGATGGATGGATGGATGATGGATATAGTCAGAGGATGGATGGATGGATAAGATGGATAGATGGATGGATGGATGGATGGATGTATGGATTGATAGATGGATAGATGGATAGATGGATGATAGATAGATGGATAAGATGGATAGATGGATAGATGGATAGATAGATGGATAAGATGGATAGATGGATGGACAGATGGATAGATAGATAGATTCAGTTTAGATAGATCACTATTTACACAAATGAACCTTCAACTTTCCTTAGACAAACTAATCAGACTTTATTCTGTGAATAACAGAGAAAACCAGCATAAACGTGTCCAAAAACACACTTCCACTCTGGAAGCTAAACCGCTGTGTAATATGACATAAACCACTGAACAAGCCAATCAGAAGACGGTTCATGCAGCTCAATTTACTTTATTAGTTATTATGCAGCTCAATTTACCTTAAACAGACATATAATAATAAGATTTTGATCTAATGAAACAGACATATTCTCAGTCACAGCAGTATGAGTGAGAAGGCATCATCTGCTGACTGCACTCATGATATTGCACTGGAGATCTGGAGCACGTTTACCTGCTGATCTTGAGGCAGCTGTGTGGTAATCGTGGAAGGACCGGGATCTTCACAAACGGCCAGGCTCCGAACTAACTTTACCTTTGCGTTCGACTGCAGAAGAGCATGAGTGAAGTTACACAGAGTCTCTGACTTTCACAAGCACACGTGCAAAACTGAAAAATCCCATGCAAACATAACAAACACGGGTCGCTCTGTCAAACAGATGCCTCAACGAAACATGAGCAGCATGCAGAACTGAAGCACTGAACTCTGGGAGGAGACTGAAGAGCTCGTGCCGCTGTACCTTGGGTCTTTCATCGCCCGGTCCGAGTGTTTGCCGCTGTACGGTGAGCAATGAGACAGAAGCACGTCAGTCTCACCCACAGTAATGCTTCTTCATTACACATCACACGACTGAACCAGCGTCTCTTCTCCTACACAGATCGTGTTTTGCTTCTGAACTCAATGGCAGGAATACTAGAAAAGTGGCTTGAAATAAATATATATTTAACACTAAACCAGTCCTGCGTTCTATGAAAAGCTTTCAGTCAAACAGCTTGGACACTGGTTAGATTAATAAAAGCAGGAGTGTCAATCAAAAGACATTATTAGATTTACAGCCACCCTCTTCCTTCATTAAACGAGAGAACAAAGAGTGTTTCACCATCTTCAAATGTTCCTTCAGGATACACGAGAGGTTTCTGTTAATATAGTAGAATAGGAATATGATCCCTCAGGATGAAAAACCTATTACAGAATCACTCTGAATGATGC